TTTGCGGCATCTTCGTGTAAGTTCGATGTAATCTTCGTTCTGCCGCGAATGAACCTATATTTCTGGTTTTATTTTCGATGCAAAGTGCTAAAAACTGTTAAGATTCCTTTTTTATGCTTGGAAACACATGTTACCTTGAGTTCGATCGTAGTTTCGATTTGAAAGTTGCATTTATCTTTCTCAAAACATTTTGAAATTAGTTGTGAATTAAACTTTGTTGTCCAAGGGTTATCACATGTCTTTACTCATTATGCAGAGGCGGCGGAACCATAGGGACCTTGGCCAACTTTGTTGGTTTATATTTGCTGTTCGTCTTGGAATTCTGAGTTGCCTAGGACAAGTAGAGATGCCTCATCTCTCGATTATAAAATAGGCTAGATCAGTTCCTGATTGACCTCATCTAATCGAGAATGCCAAGTTAGTCTAGGCCAGTTTAGAATCAGACTGCGACATATTAGAATTGTTCAGTACAACATGGATTTTTCAATAACAATTGTAAAAATGAATATCGATGTCTTTTCCTCGGATTAGTTTAAAGGATTTCCTTAAATCTTTAGAGTTTTAATGGTTTCAAAACATTTTTTTGAAGTACAAAGTAGGTTCTTTTTTGTACAGATATTCTTGAGACATTTTAGAATTGTATAATTCTATTAGGCACTTTTAAAATGAAAAACAGCACATCTCTGAATTGTTTTATTTTTATTCTTATTGGTTTGTTTCATAAACCAATATTAATAAATATTAGCCAGAAAAAGAACCAAAAATCAAAATCAAAATTTCTCATTTTCTATTAAAACATCTTATGCACACTGTAAAACCCAGTGACAATCAAAGAACAGATTTCTTCTCCAATTTGCCTGACAGTGAGTTCCGCTATGCGAAAAACACGTTTCGAGAAAAACGCAAAATACTTTTTTTCTTCTGAAAATTACTTTTCCTTTGATCTGTATTGATCTTTAAGAGTTTGGTAAAGCTCTGTATAGGTTTTCGACCATGCAGATTCTGATGCACATATGTCACATATACGTATGTGTATGTGAACGCTTTCTTCACAATACCATTCTTTTACCTATAAAGTATGTGATGTATACATTTTCACCAAAACTCAATTGCGTTGCTATCATGCATGCTTACTACGCTCTTATTTTGTTTCTAATGCCTACAGCTTAATTATACATGTCGTTAAAAAAGCATCACGTTTTTTTGACACTGTTTTGTTTATTTCGACTATAAGAACAAACGAAAGCCTACTTTTGTTAGAAATAAGAGTATGCGCATCCGAAAAAATGCATGCACAGGTACCTGTATATGCCACACATGTGCATGCATATGCCCGTTGGATTCAGCAACGTCAAAAACCTATAAGAGGATAAAAACGGACCAAAACATGAAAAATTTGAAATTTTGAGTTTTTATTCTTGTGGGGCTTCCAGAAAACTTCGTGAACATCCACTAAAATCCATTTTTTAGCGAGTAAAAATTAGTGCAAAATAAATAAATTACTAGCCAGTTCTTGGTTATCTCTTTTATTCTGTTTCTGCATGCTTAGTTTAGATTCATAGAGACTAAGTTATAGAGTGTCTTAGGGTAATTATGGTCAGCTCCTCAAAATTTCGTCGTATTTCTCCTGTAGTTCGCTCAATTTTTATCTGAGAAAAGCGATATTTTACACGTAAATAGAGATGACTCCTGGCTATCAATTGATGTAAAAATTTTCTTAAAATTCATTAGTGTTAATTAGTACTAATCAATTTCCAGAGAGCACCTTTCGATTGACCATAATTATCCCCTGTGGGGTAATTATGGTCAGTCAACGTGTACCGTTGGGGTAATTATGGTCAATACAGCAAAAATGGCTGCGATCATCTCAAGTTAACTTAGTTTCAACGGAGAATTTTAAGGTAAATAATTAAAAATTATATCATCTTGTAGAGAATTTCAAGCTCTATCACCTGTATGAATTGCATGCTATTTGTGCTTGCCGTTAATTAATTAATTAGAAACTACGAGAATGCGTGTTTTTCGAAAAAAAGTCATTTGGGGTAATTATGGTCAGTCCGTGTAATTTGCACGGAAAAGTCAGAGTTTAAATCCCACCAACTTACAGAGACCGATTTTACATCAATGATAAATAGAGAAATTATAGAGAGGATTGTTCTCTATTATATGAAGTGAAAACTGGAACATGATCGCTTGGTCCTAGCGATTTGTAGCCGTCTGATGAGTTTTGCTGAATTTTAGCACATTTTTGTACCTGATTTTTGACAGTCCAATTAAGGTGGTACCTGTAATAATTGTGTAATTTAAAAAGTGTTAAACTTTTCATATTCTCCAGATACTCTTCTATCTCTTGAGTAAAAGAAAAATTTCAAGACATAAATTTTTTATTTGATTCAATGACCTGAAGATGCCGTCATAAAATTCAGATCACTTTTAGCAAAGAATGAAGTGAATTGAAAAAACTTTATTTTAAAAGTCATTGAGGAACATGTTTTATTGTTTGACTGTACAAAATATACACTTTAATATGACAATCATTTGATTTTTTGTCAACTATTTTGAATGCAATTAACGAATTTTTAAACATAATTAATTTACGTCTCGTAACTGATTAATTTGGTATAGGTATAAGATGCCGCTTAATCTAAGAAAAATGCTTGGTCACTATAAGCACGATGTAAACAAACAGTTATTGGCACCTTACTGTCGAATCAAAAACCGAACTAAAATTTTGACATTTGTTACCGGTTTAAAATTACCGTGGTAAAACTCTAATATTGCAACCGAAACGTCGGTAACGGTAAAAACGTGTTACCGTTACCGCTCATCTCTAATCGGTGAGGTTAAAACATCCAATGTATTGTGCAACCCAATATTACCCATTATTATTATACAATATTATTGGTCCCAATAGATTGGGTGACCAATATTATTGGATACCCAATAGTATTGTACAATATCTTCAATAATGATTGATATTGGTGCATGCCTAGTCAGCAGTAAGGCTGCAGAAAGAAGTCAAAATACAGGAAAAATAGAAAAATTTCGAAAACCAGGATAAAACAGGACGTTCTCATACTCGATTTATTGTTAGGTATGTCGTGTTTGAAAAGCTCCAGTACTTTTACAGGGAAAAAATTTATTTTTCTTAATAGCTATAAAAAATGGGGCCTTGAAGATTCGAGATGAGAAAATCCCATTTCTATAAATCATTTTTATAACTTTTTTGAATTTGTGGACTGCTATTGTTTGTTATAGATTTAAGAACAGTGACAAAAGAAATATAAAAAAATTCAGCCCCTATGCAAAAAGTAGAGACACTTTCATATATAACTTAAGTTAAAACGATTTTATTGGTTCTATCCGTTGTAACTGGGAGTTACACAAAGTTTTCTGTAGATCACAATGTATTTTATAGATAAATACACAAAGCAGACAATGATGATCATTTACATTTTTGTATAATTAAATCATTCGAGATTTTGCCAGTTGTCAAGGAAAGCTTTTTAATTGAAGTTGAATTAGTACCAAACTCTATGATACTCTATGGTACGGATTTGATCTTTTAAACTTGATTTCTCTCTATAAGTCTCTATCCTAACAGATGGATTTTAGCACTAAGCGGTATGATTATTGTGATGTGATTTGAAGTCGAAAAAAGATTTGTCGGTTTTGCCTCGTCTGCTTTATTGCTTTTCCACGTAAACTCATTTCACTCGTTGGACCTCGAGTTCAAAAGAGAAGCTGTTCTCTTACAAAATGAAACGGCGGATATAACAGCGGAAAAGTGTCCTACGTGTTTCCTTGTGTATCAACAAATTTGATTCGATTCAGTATTGAATAAGATGGTCGATGATCGGTTGCCAAAGGTGAACCTGAATAGATCAGCGTTATAACCCCTAACTGCTCGAACACGAGCTTTTATAGAGTGAGACCAGATCAAAAAATAAAAACAAGAAAAAAGGTATTGCATTTTCACTATTGTGTGGGTATAAAGTATGTCCTGGTATTGGACAAAACTGATACAGAATACTCGCAAAGACACACTAGGACTGACTTTATATACTCTACCCAGTGGAAAATAAAACACCACTTCTTCTCGTTCGTTTCGAGACACGACAGAAGTATTTTGCTCGAGCATACCACGACGCCTTTTCGACCGATGCTCAACGGTCTCATCAGGTGGTCCTAAACTCGAAAGCATTACATTTTTGGTCTGATCAATATGCTCTGAACTCGAAAAGTAATTTACTGAGATGATGCTATTTATATATAAATATATATATACATGCCGAGATACTATTTTTTGATATATCAATCGTTAGACTCGAGGCTTCTTAATTGAGATCACTTTTTTCATAAAATCTGTAACATAAAAATTAACATCAAAGAAACATCACAGGGCGGGCAGCGCAAAATGAGAGTGAGTAGAAAAATAGTGATCTCAGTTAAGAATAAGCCGTTAGACTATATTTAAAGAAAAATAGCAGCCGTCGATTGCAGCCGTCGAATAGCAGCTCTTCTCAGGAAAATGATCGTCATGTCTCTTGTAATAATGTCACACTTTCGCACATTACTAACAACAGTGAGAGGGAGCTCGTAAATAAAAACAAGAAAAAAGATATTTCGTCTTCACTATCATGGGGTATATAACGGACTAAATTCAGTTGTTTTCTCCTTGTGAAAATCTGAATCAAATTTGATTAGTTCTTTCACTTTTTCAATAGATGTTTGAACGATAAAAATACATGTGCGACATCGTTTTAATTCTTTTCATTTTGTTGGGTATTTACCAATGTAAAAGTATGCTTCAAATCGATACATTCAGAATCCTTATTTTCGGTTAGTTGAAGACAAATCTTTTGTTTGATCCCAGACTAAAAGTCAGGGAAAAACAACCAAAGAAAACCTAACAGTATTTATTAAGCTTTAGGCAAAAGACACAAAAAACTTTCAAAAAAAGTTGATTTACAAAGAGTTTTAGTATAGCGAATACGAGTACAAATCTCATACAAAGCATGTTTTAGAGTATCAAAGTATACGTTTTAGAACCTACTATTCGAAATCTGTTGCTGAAAACGCGAGGATATAACTGTCTGATCAGCTAAAACAATAATTTTATCATTGTGTCCAAATATTATTTGCTCCTGTTTATTTGGATTTATAACGATACCATAGAGTTTTGTTTGATCATGTACATATTTCATTAGTCTGTAACCAATAGCCACACATTGAAATTTTAATGTTGATTGTAAAACTTCGTAATAGCTCACTGGTGTATTTAGTGGAACAAATATGG